ATAGGGTGGTAAAATCGAAACAGCTACTGAAGCGGTACGCAAAGGGAGGTTATAGAAAAAAATTGTTTACGGATGAGAAAATTTTTACAATTGAGCAACATTTTAACAAAAAAAATGACCGTATTTATGCTCAAAGCTCTAAGGAAGCTTCCCAATTAATCGACAGAGTGCAACGTGGGCACTATCCGACTTCAATGATGGTTTGGTGGGGTATTAGCTATGAAGGAGTGACTGAGCCATACTTTTGTGAAAAAGGTATCAAAACATCGGCACAAGTGTATCAAGATACCATTCTTGAGAAGGTAGTGAAGCCCCTTAACAACACCATGTTCAATAATCAAGAATGGTCCTTCCAGCAAGACTCGGCGCCAGGTCATAAAGCTCGGTCTACGCAGTCTTGGTTGGAAACGAACGTTTCGGACTTCATCAGAGCTGAAGACTGGCCGTCGACTAGTCCCGATCTTAATCCGCTGGATTATGATTTATGGTCAGTTTTAGAGAGTACGGCTTGCTCTAAGCGCTATGATAATTTGGAGTCCCTAAAACAATCCGTACGATTGGCAGTGAAAATTTTTCCCATAGAAAGAGTGCGTGCTTCTATTGATAACTGGCCTCAACGTTTAAAGGACTGTATTGCAGCCAATGGAGACCACTTCGAATAAGTTTTTTATACTTTAAATTGTTTTATATTTATGTATTAAATTACCATACTGTTAAAGTAATAAACGTTATTTGCAATAGAATTTTTTTTGTATTGAATTGTAACAGTATTTATGGCCGGACTAAGTATAGATATAGATATAGATAATAACACTCCGTCAATAGCAGTAGCTATTAAAAGCTGGAGGAGAAAATGGAACGTAAGTATTTTGTCTTTCCCTATTTATATGTATATATATATATCAGTAGATATAGACTCGATAAGGACGCCTGCGGGAATCCGGTGCGCATGTCATAGATAAATCTCGACCGATACATTTTAATCTTTGTCGTATTTAATTAGAGATACGGAATGGAATAATCACGGACGACTGCGACGTTGAGAAAGGATTGAGGTCATAGATAAGTTTGATCGTGAAAAGGTATTTTTTCTATCTTTGTAGAAAAACGAAAGGCCCGCTTAATTGTGAATAGTCTCCAAGGGCACAGCCAATCTACCCCCTACCACTAAATAAAGGTTACGACTCGAACAATTTTCTTTTGTTTTTACTTTTATTTTTGTATCAATTACATCGCTGTTAAAATGTTTACGATTTCAAATTGGTTAGTATTATATATGTACTAGCTGTACCCGTCCGCTTCGCTGGGAATTTAAAATTAACATTATTATTTCCCACCCCCATAAAGATTATCATCATTAACGCCCCCGCAACTGGTGTAGGGAGTCCAACACTCATATAAATATTAGCCTATCCATTAAGTATATGTATTTTCTACATGAATACTAAGTTTCAAGTCAATCGTATGCACGGTTCAGTAGTTATAATGGAACATCCGTAATAACCACTGTAGATTTATATATTAGTATAGTACTAGAGATGTATGTACCATCTACGAATAAATAATAAGTATATTCGTAGTGTACCATATAATATGATGTTAATTATAAAGAATCTAAATGTTTTTGTTACTTTAACATAAGAGCATTAATTACTCTGTATTATAATGGGTGGACAAAGTTTGGTTACCCATAGGTATCGCGAAATCTCCTCACATTTAGATGGAAGTCGCAGTTGTTTTAGGTTACGAATATCCGTGTTTCATATCCTTTAATTCACTTGGAACCTCTTGACTTACGAAGACACTTTTAGTTTCTCTTAATGTATTTCGTATCATATATTCTATGGGGCGTTTGAGAGGGATTAGATCATCTCAATAACTTTTGAAGTCGTCGTGGCCTAAAGGATAAGGCATTCGGTTTATTCGTATTTAGCGATGCAACGTAAAATTTGGTACCCGCCTGCGGGATTCGAACACTTACCGCAGGCGGGTACCAATTTTTCTACTGAAATACGTACTTAACAAATGTTCACGATTGACTTCCACAGTGAAGGAATAACATCGTGTAATAAAAATGAAACCCGTAAAATTATGTTTCGCGTAATTACTGGTGGTAGGACGTGTTATGAGTCCACACGGGTGGGTACCACCACCCTGCCTATTTCTGCCGTGAAGCAGTAATGCGTTTCGGTTTGAAGGATAGGCAGTCGTTGTACTGAGACCTTAGACCTATTATCTCAAGATAGGTGGCGGCATTTACGTTGTAGATGTCTATCAGCTCCGGAATCACCTAACATCAACCTATGTAATAAAAAAAATATCTTTTTTACCATCGCGCCGTCTGGAACCGAATCAAAGTTCATTCCTACGAATTTATTAAGATTAAATTCCTATAAAACAGGCAGTGGATTTATTGTGCCCCGAAATGTGGTTACCGTCGGACCCATTCCACCATAGATTTTATCACCGTGAGCTCGTGACCGATGGCAAAAAAAATATAGTTTTCGTAATTTCACGAATCGAGCTACAGCAACCAAAAATCTGGTCTGATAACATACGGCTTATCTAATTAAGAAAAAACATAAAGTTAACATAAAAAAAAATTAATTGGCGTTTTAATGAGCAAATTCAGTCAGTAATAAATTTTTATCTTAATGTATATATTAATGAAAACACGGAGATTTCTCGGAGCGAGACTGCGATCTACTCGAAATCTGAGGATTGCGTGATAAGCAACGAGGGTATAGGGAATAGTGAGGAGTCATTCTCAAACTAAGCCGGCGTAATTACTGGTGTTAGGACATCTTGTGAGTCCGCGCGGGTGGTACCACCGCCCCGCCTATTTCTGCCGTGAAGCAGTAAAGCGTTTCGGTTTGAAGGGTGAGGCAGCCGTTGTAACTATACTGATACCTTAGAACTTATATCTGAAGGTAGGTGGCGGCATTTACGTTGTAGATGTCTATGGGCTCCGGTAGCTTCTTAACACAAGTGGGCCGTGAGCTCGTCCACCGACCTAAGAAATAAAAAAAAAGGAAATAAAAAAAACCTTTCCATCCCAAACAGAAATTTGGGAGTTGGCGTTTTCTCCCAACCCAAAATTTTTGCAGGACTCACCGCCGAGATGTAAATTACAAACATAGATCTTTTAAATTAGTAGACACACGTTTTCTCGTACCATTTTATAAGTAGTTGTTATTATCAAAAAAGGTGAATTTACCGATTGTTCCCTTTCAAAGTTCGTAATTAGAAAATCGAGGGGGCAATAAGTTTGAGAAACGTCGAAATAGGCACACAAAAAAATATCTATCGCGCAACACCATCACTATCTTAACACAGAAAATCGATTAAAAATCAAAAGAGAATCGATAAGTACCCCCAAGCGTCACGGGGAAGTTCAACATTTCGGTGTTCGATAAATAAATATTGATATAAGTTGTCCTATGGAATTCTTTCCCTGACTTCAAAAGAAAGGGGTCGATGACACTGCATTCGGATATACACATACACGTTAGAATAATACGACAAATGTCAGCGCTAATTGTGGTAATTCTAGGACATTTCTAGGACTAGTTATATTGAACTGTTGGGATATTATTATGAATTATTAGGACTATATTTTCATCGGCTTACACGAATTGTAGACAAAAATAAAACTACAGTTACGATTGAATATTGATTAAGCACGTCTACGAAAACTGTATTCGAAAAGTCTGAACTAAAATAATGACAATAAAACAATACAAGATTATATCTTAAAAGTTTTATTTGGAACGAAGAAGAACCCTAACTGGGAAAAAACGTCCGTAACGTAAGATTTTTATTATTTGTGTATAGTCTTAGTATGATGGCTATACAGTGTCTAATGTATAGTCTACGTGATGACGGTTATTATTATTCATATAAATAGCTGTTTCTTTGTATATTATATAATTATATTGTATATGAATAAAATAAAGTTGATAACTTTGTAAAGTAGCTTTATTTTATTTTTATCAATAAAAAATCATAATAAAAAATTTATATGTACCCGAATAATTATTTTCTTTATAGCTCGAATAGAACTTAAAATTAATATTTTTATAATAAGGAACTTCCTTCCTATCCGGTGTCCCACGACACCACACATTTTATTTAATTACCTTGCATACTGTCTTCGTAAGTTATAGATTGAATAATGGGTTTCAACCTTTTACTGTTCTGCTTAATTGAGCCGGTAGGTGCTACTATAGTAGATATTCTCACAGCGAAGCAGTAATGCATTCGGGATTGAGAAACGAGACAAACATGGTAAGGACCACATTAGGCTTCGACCTCATGTCTCAAGGCGAGCAGCGGTATTCACTTCGTTATATCAAAGGACACCAACAAGCACTTATCACATGGACCGTAACTGGGTTCACCCATGTACGAATTAAAATTACCTCCTCCTCCTTATCTATATATATAAAAATTAATTGCTGTTCGTTAGTCTCGCTAAAACTGGAGAACGGCTGGACCGATTTGGCTAATTTTGGTCTTGAATTATTTGTGGGAGTCCGGAGAAGGTTTAAAAGGTAAAAAAAAATGTTTTTCCTTTGATGTGTCCCCCGTCGGACGGATTCCTTTTGTTTGAATTATGTTTATTTTATACAAAAGTTTAGGTCTTTTATTTATCGATTGAGGCACTACGAAGTCTGCCGGGTCAGCTATTCTATATATATATAAAAATGAATTGCTGTTCGGTAGTCTCGCTAAAACTCGAGAACGGCTGGATCGATTTGGCTAATTTTGATCTTGAATTATTTGTGGAAGTCCAGAAAAAGTTTAAAAGGTAGATAAATATGAAAATTCTCGGAATGAAATAAAGTTTAGGTCTTTTATTTATCGATTGAGGCACTACGAAGTCTGCCGGGTCAGCTAGTACTGAATAAATATTTAGTCAGTTACTAAGTGCACTCCCAAATGCACTTTCGCGTATAATTTTAGTTTTGATATAACTCTGATGTTCATAACAGACTCACCGTAAGCACAGGAAGGCCAAGCCCGATTATGTACAGCATTAAATTGGTCACCGTTGAATCTTTGTACGGGTGCTTCAAGGATTCATCGTCGCAGAAGAAGCCCCTCTCGTACGGCTTCCCCCACAAGAAGAACACCAGTATCAGGAAACCAACTGAAACAAGAACAGTAATTTTTAATCTCAGTCTGTTGTTGGAATATTTCTATATTTTTTTTCTATTACTTAGTTTGGTTGACAGCTCACAGCCCACCCGGTGCCAAGTGGTTATTGGAGCCCATAGACATCCACAATGTAAATGTGCCACCCACCTTGAGATATAAGTTCTAAGGTCCAAGTATCGTTACAACGGCTGCCCAACCCTTCAAACCGAAACGCATCACTGCTTCACGTCAGAAATAGGCAGGGTGGTGGTACCCACCCGCGCGGACTCACAAGAGGTCTTACCACTAGTGAATGTCTATGGGCTCCGGTAATAGGTGGGTGGCGTATTTACGTTGTAGATGTCTATGGGCTCCGGTAACCACTTAACACCAGGTGGCCTGTGAGATCGTCCACCCATCTAAGCAAAAAAATAAAATAAAATAGATGTTTCTCACATCATGATTTCTTTACAATCAATTAATGGTAGAGTTTTTTTATTTGTATATACCAGTATATGTTTTTTTTGTGATTGAAGCGATTACTGATGGCCCGGAGTCTTTTCCAGGATCTCAGCCAGGAGGAGTGAGTTTGCTAAAGGTACTCGAGCGCCTTCAAGGGAGACCTGACAAGTCAAGAGTAGCTGCTTCACGAATGAATCTAGTACCGGATCGGAATCGCAACCCGCTGAGAAGATCCGGCGAGAAACTCAACGGGCTGATGTTTGGGTTAGGTTATATATACGAGTATGTGATAAGTGTGTGTATTTGTGTATGTATGTGCATGTATGTATATTTCAATGTATAGGTAATACGCGTGTAATCTATTTCTTAATGATTCTTGTCCACCTAAATGGTTGCCTAAAAGAGATCGCCATTAGCGATAAAACCGCCAATGTACTTTTTTTGTATTTAATGTTTCACATTTATTTATTTATTTTGTGTACAATTTCTTATAATTTGTGTGGGTTCCGATTAAAACTATGTAGTATGTAGACGTCTCATTTGCAATGCGTGATTACATGTCATTTGAAAATAAAACAAAAGGGCGCCTCACGAGCAATAACACTTCTGCGGGTTTGCGGTGAGCCTGGTACACTCATGCAGACAACCGCCAACTACCGACTTGACTTGATCGGTCCATCGCATGGGCAACCTTCCACGCGGTCTGGTGCCTTCCGCTTAACCTGAACGACAAGGCGCTCTATGGATTAATTTCCTCGCCGGGAGATATGTCCAAAAAATGATAGCACGTGCCTATGCATTAAACAGCAAAAATAGTTTTAATATTCGTCTCTCTCTCTCTCTCTCTTTCTCTCTTTCTCTCTCTCTCAGTGTATAATCCTCTTACGACTCGCAAAAACCTTCACATGTACACATACGGCTTCCTATTAAAATCAAATAGAAGCTACAAAAACCGAAGTTGAAATATTTACACACTTGGCCTGTATTTATGATGATTACCGCTATCGAACTCAGCTGTTAAGTAACATCTTTATTTTCTCATTAGCTGTCGTTACAATTGTAAAACGGTGAGGTAATTCGACTATCTCCGCTAGTCGACGCTTGATGGTGGACGTCTGCGTGGAATGCGAGTAGAATTTAGTTTCACCGAGTGATGGTACGATGTGATCAGCCCGTAAGAGCTAGTAGGACCCTACTAGCTGTTCTTGGCAAAGCAGTGAGATGCCCGTTACCTCAAGGTGAGTGGCGGCATTCATGAGGTGATGTCTATTGGCTCTAGTATCCACGTGATATCAGGTGTACTGTCAGCTCGTTTATTGCAATAAAATACCCTATAACCTTTTCGATTCGAAAGAGAAGATATCTCACAATGGTCTTCTTTAAATAAAGATAAAATATTCAAATAAACCACGGTATTTAAGAGAATTGAAACTTTTTTAATCAGTTCAGAATTAAAAATTTAAGTTACTAAATCGGTCAGGGAAAAAAATTAAGCAACTAATCCACTTAAAATTGACGGTCGTTTTTTTATGATGAAGACATTCCGAAAGGCCGGATCCAATTATTACTCATCCACAACGCTTCTCTCATATCCCTAACAAAAATTAAAATATTATAGGCACCGTCTAAAAACACATTCACTCAATCAATCAAACACATAATAACATTGAAAACATACGAAAGGAACACCATTAAAATTAACCACAATCTCTTCTCGGGCGGAATTTAAATTGTAGGTCAATGTTGTATAAAGCTGCCTTCACAATGTAGCTTTGAAAAGCGGCGTTGAAAAAAACGCTCCCATTTTAACCTTACCATTCGTTCAAAATTTAAACAATGGGGACACTTCCTGATCCTTGATAACCAACCATGTTCGAAGTCAAAATGAAAAAAAAATACTGAACCATCATCAGGTAAGAGGAAATCGATCAATGAACAATGTCAATATTTTAAAGAAATGCGAGTTCGGAAGCAGATTTCTATTACCGACTGACTCGATGGGACCGTATTTGGCGCCTCTGACTTTTAGACCAAGTGAAATCGATTAACACTTAGGGTAATCAACGGTCTGGTCAACCCTGCCCATTTGACACCGCGAAGCTTTTTTTTTATTGCTTAGATGTGTGGACGAGCTCACAGCCCACCTGGTGTTAAGTGGTTACTGGAACCCATCTACAACATAAATGCGCCACACACCTTGAGATATAAGTTCTAAGGTCTCAGTATAGTGACAACGGCTGCCCCACCCTTCAAACCGAAACGCATTACTGGTTTACGGCAGAAATAGGCAGGGTGGTGGTACCTACCCGTGCGGACTCACAAGAGATCCTACCACCAGTAAAAAGTAATGGGGAATGATTTGAAGCGTGGGGCAGTCGTTATACTACACAATTCAAGTTAAGACCTCATGTTTCAAAGTGGATGGAGCAAGTTAAGTGATGATGTGTGTGGCTTTTGTTGACCGTCTAACATCAGATAGGTCGTCAGCTTCTTCAACCGTCTATAAAATTTAAAAAAAAACACATCACACTGCGTGCACAACAAAAAAAACATGACTAAAATTTCAGAACGTATGTTTTTTAAGCACATCACCCGTTTTTTTGGTGAACAAATTGATCTTAGAGGTGGACTTGACCCGACTTAAAACCCAACGGCCTTCTTTCCATTTGCCCTACAGGGCGTTCCAAAATAGGACACGTCGCCGCGTCGTATGGCAGATCTTACGTTGAATCAAACCATGAATGCATTTCAAGTACATCCATGGGTAAAACCTCCATTGAACTTGAGCCTTGAGCGATGAAAATATTTTGCTAATCAAATACTTGAAATTTGTAAAGGCAACTACGATTTTTCTTATAAGGAGCAATCATGAGTTTGGTTTGAAGCACGTCTTATTTAGGATAGCAGTAATCAACGTATAGATTTCGATTATGCCTCCATATTTTCTAGTTTAAAGAGTTATTCCAGCTACGCGGGAACGTGTAGTTGGCTCACGGGCTCAACCTGAGAGAATTTGCTAACACTAGCCCTAGCAAGAGCAGTGTGTTTCGAAGAATCTACCACTGGATCGGAATCGCGACCCGCTGAGAAAATCCGGCCAGTATCTGAGGGTGGGTAGTGGCATTTATATTATGGTCTCTAAAATACTTTAGTTTTTTAAAATCATCATCACATTGTTTCCTTTCTATATTGAGACATGTACAAAAAACGTTGAGGGTGCGGTTGGAGTACATAGATGTAGATTGAATGGATAAGACAAGAATACACGACGCTCGTTTATTCATAGGCTTTGTCACTGATAATCTGTAATCTTTTCATCATTTTTGCGAGTTAATTGACGCGATTTTAGATAAAATAAAATGTTTTCGAATTTTATTGTTAAAATTCCAAAACACTTCGATTTTCTTAGGGACGACATTGAAAATAAATTGATTTTTTAATTATTAGTTGAATTATGGATGAATCAATGGTAAATTATATAATATTACAACTATGCACTGCACTAAAATTCGCATGTCAAATAATGACCAAAGCATACACGCTGCTTTTAATTTATGTAATAACTCATTTTCACTATGCTTGGCGAATAAATGATTTCTTTCTTTCTTTCTTTCTTTCTTTCTTTCCAATAGAATTTAATAATGATATAATAACGATTAACGTTAAGACGCCCGGTGTAGTAAGTAGTACATAATTGGACAGGTTCCAATTTGTATGCGTAATTATGTATGAACCAAACGTTACGTAATGATATAAGAACATTTTGTAGTAAAAGAATTTGTGATATATTTCAATCGTATTATGAGATGATCCATCCTTCTTATTTTGAAAATAGGCAACGCGTTGCGGACAGCGTGATGTGCCCAACACCAAAAACACTAGCTTGATCCAATATAAAATCACTTTCAAATTTAAACACGTCGCGTTAACAAAAACAAGAAACCTGATCCTAAGCCGATCGCTTCCAGTGGTATCGAATCCTATATCTTCGGCAACGCTGTTATTGATCTATACTAAAATAACAAACAACGTTTTATGGGTGCCAGCCGTTATGGAGCCACTCCTAACTGACTTGGGGTTTACCGAACTGAAATACGACATTGTTTCACTCGTGAGATTTGACTGTTTAGACCAAATTGTATGAAAATTCAACCAAATCAAATAATATGTCTGGTAAATACAGCCTTAGCCAAAAGTAATGACCACCCACAATTTATTTCATTGTCTTGTGAAGTATTATAATAATCTTAACTTAAGCTTATATAGTTCAGAATTAGTCTCCATTAATATTTAAATATATAAATACATGGATCCTTTTTCAGAGGATTGAGTTGAAAAAGAAAATAAATAGGTAATTTATGTAATTAATTTATAACCTATAAATGTAGGTAAAAAAATAAGTACCTAACGGAAGTAAAAAGGTAGATATTTTCGCATTTCATTATGTACCGTCAAAACAAGTTGATAAAATATGCAACAATAACCAATCGATAAAGTCTAATGAATCTTTTGTAAAATATTGTAATTCTCGACGATTTGAATGAAGAAATC